CGTCCGCCTGAAATGGTTTGTGGGAAGTGGAACTTGACAGATGAGTCCGATCCCACACGAGCATTAGCATTAGCATTAGCATCTGTAACCCACAGGTCTGTGACCTAACCATGAAGTTGTTATCAGAGTAAATCCCTGTTCAACTTGAGTCTGACAACTAAGTAAGTAGATGAATAACTTTAGACTTTAACACATGCTCTGGTAGGCCGGGATTGGGATCGGATCGAAGTGATAAAAGCTGGATCGGGACATCCCTAGTCTGGCTTGATTTAAGTCCTAAAACGGTCCCACAGGATCAACAACAAAGTGCTCTCTGAACCCTGAAAGTGCCCCCCTGTGGACGCTTTGTAAGATGTTGATTTGTGTGTCTGTGTGTGGTTTAATGTTGCTTCTTCTCTGTGATTCAGAGCTGTTGTTGACACCTTTTGACAAACTCGTTTCTCATTAAAATAGCATGAAAAATAACTTAATATTTCTCTTCAGTAGTTACACAAAAAATCGGATTTAATTTTGTGAGCAAGCTGGTGAAAAAGCAACGAATCAGGAAGTGAGAAAAAGAACAGCCAGGTTTATGAGCTTTTCAGTTAAACTTTCTTTTTTTTATTATATTTTATTCTGTGGTTAGGTTTGTGAACACATCCTGCTGAGACATAGACTCTGTTTAAACTTCTCTGCCCTCCGTAGCTTCCTCTGTTTGTCCAGCTTTCAGGTGTTAGCATCTGAAAGCTAACACTTTATGTCACTGCTGTTCATTAGGACGCACAGGCGTTGTAGCAGTGCATGCTGGGATTCGGCTGGGACGGCATCCAGCCCCCTCACAACCCTAGTGGGAATGAGCATCATAGAAAATGGAGGCCAGATATTTATAGACGGACCATTATTATTAGAAACAGATTATCTCGCCCTGAGTTTGACTCATGCGGTTCGCGCTATTTGTTTATACTTCGTTCTGTCCTTGTCCAACAGACCAGAATGTGAATTCAACACATAAAGCTTTCTGGACAAGCTCATTTCATTTAGATATTTAATTCAGAAGGCTGCGGATAGAAAACTGTTTTAAAATCTAAATTCGATTAATGAATGCAATTCATGCGTTTTTTTAATTGAAATTTGATTTAGCATGTCTCCACTAGTAAGTTATTTATAATGTAATTAGAGTTGATTTAAAGCAAAATTTGTTTTGTTCCATATTAAAAGGTTCAGTTTTTCACTTTTGCCCCACTGCGTTTTTTAGTTTGACCCCTCTGATTTAGGCAGGAACCTTAGAATAATGTCTGGAGTCCCAGAAAAAACTGAAATTGTCACTAAAACTAAAGGCGTATGAGGCCCTGCACCAGACCTCCTCTGATTGGTGGTTGAGGGCTTTAACCCTATAATGCCAAATGTGTCATATCTGATCCGGTTTCTTTTGGATCTGAGACGTTTTGAATCATTCAGTGGTAAAAGCTTTGCTCAAACCCCTGTTGAACACATTCAGATATACCTGATAACAGCCAGTAGACTACACCAAAATATATTTTTGACTTATTGCACGCTAATTTGATCAAAATCATTTCTTTTCTTTTTTTTCTTCATATGTTGTTGAGGGGCCAAAGAAAGACATAAGACTAAAAAAATTCAATAATCTTCCTATTTTTCTTGGATCGGGCTTTAAAGGGTTAAAGCTGTTTTTTGTGCTTTTAAAACAGTTTTTGGGGCTTTTAAAGCTGTTTTTTTGGTGTTTTTAAAACTTTTTGGGGGGCTTTTAAAACTGTTTTTGGGGCTTTTAAAGCTATTTTGGGGGTCTTAACCCTATAATGCCAAATGTGTCATGTCTGATCCGGTTTCTTTTGGATCTGAGACTTTTTGCATCATTCAGTGGTAAAAGCTTTGCTCAAAAGCTTTGTTTTGTTTTCTTCATATGTTGTTGAGGGGCCAAAGAAAGACTTCAGACCAAAAAAAATCCAACATTCTTCCTGTTTTTCTTGGATCAGGCTTTAAAGGGTTAATGGGATCTCTCTCCCTTATAGCTGGTGATTGAGATCATCGACGCGGCCTCGGTCGTCACCTGGGACTTCGACGTTTGCAAAGGCGACATCGTTTTCAACATCTACCACTCCAAGCGCGCCCCCCAGCCCCCGCGCAAAGACCCCCTGGGGGCGCACGGCATCTCCTCCCCGGGGGTCAACAACGTCCAGCTCATCGACAAGTCCTGGACCCTGGGTCAGGACTACAGCAGGGTGGAGTCCCCCCTCACCTGCAAGGAGGGCGAGAGCGTGCAGGTACCAGTGGGGGAGTAGCCTTCAGTTTGTAGGAGCCTCTGGCTGGATGTCCAGCTCCTCCCACATCCAAGTCGGCCATTTTGATTAGGTCATGTGACTAGCAGCTTTCTTAGGAGGAAACGAAACTTTACTGTCTATACGAAATCAGAAGAAAAACGATGTCTTAACCCTAACCCTAACCCTAACCCTAACCATGACCCTGACCCTGACCCTAACCCTAAACCTGACCCTAAACCAAAAACTGAACCTAACCCTAACCCTAAACCTAACCCTGACCCTAAACCTAACCCTGACCCTAACCATAAACCTGACCCTAACCCTAAACCTGACCCTAAACCTAACCCTGACCCTAACCCTTGAACCTGACCCGAACCCTGACCATTAACCTAACCATAATCCTGACCCTGACCCTAACCCTAATCCTGACTCTAACCCTAACCCTCCAGCCTTCATAATTGTGAGAGATAAATATTTTTTGGTTAAACTTGTTTGGACTTATCGTACAAACCTATTTAACATCCACTATTTTAACATAATATTATGCATAGAGTTTAATTCAGTGTTTGCAAGATTAATTTAAATATTTTTTAATTAATGTCTATATTGCCATTGATTTTTTTGCCTGGGATCTTCCTATTGGTGACCTAATCAAAATTGCCTTGGACTTGGATCTGGGCGGGGTTGGGTATCCCAGACCTATTTGGGCCTCTGGGCCCGTCCCTCCATGGCCCCCCGGGGCTGATGTTTCTGTGTCTCTGCCCCCCCCCCCCAGGGCTCCCACATAACGCGCTGGCCGGGCTTCTACATCCTCCAGTGGAAGTTCCACAGCATGCCGGCCTGCTCGGCCACCAACCTGCCGCGGGTGGACGACGTGCTGGCCACCCTGCAGGTGTCCTCGCACAAGTGCAAAGTCATGTTCTACACCGAGGTGCTGGGGTCCGAGGACTTCAGGTCGGTACCCCAATCTCTGAGCTGTTATATGGACGTGGCTTTAGTATTTTCTGAATTGAATCAAAGCCTGACGGCGTCTCATAGCTGCAATATCACCAACGACCAGCAGGTGACAGCAAAAACAATCAGAACCTGTTTAAAGTTAGTTCTTTCTCATTTTGTTTGTCACTTTTGGGGGATGTAAAACACCGTTTTTCTTCTTCTGTGGAGCTGGAGGCTCATACATAAATTAAGACGGACTTAAAATGATGATAGAGCCTCAGGACTGTGCACGCCACGCCTTTATTTCATCAACGGTTTTTGGCTTTTCACGAGCTCCAGGATTTGAAAATCACGTTGCATTCAGGGTCATGAAGTATTTTCACAGTTATTTGAGGAAACTGTCACAAAGTTCAGCAGATACAAGCATAACTGTTCCCCCAGATACATAAATAGTCATTTTGAATACTCATTTTGAAATGCCTTTGAGTTTCATGAGGTTTTCCGGTCCCGAGTTGTGGGCTGGAGGTGCTTCCTGCCTTCCTGACTCCTTTAACTGGTCTTTCTCTGTCCAATCGGGTCCTTTTGCCCACCACCCCCCTCCTCCTGCT